ATATATTTTGTAATTCTTTGTAGGAAATCACCAATTTGATGTTGTGTGTATTTATTGTCAGTGATCAAACAGAGCAGACTCACCTCCAGAATAGGACACATGGTGTCGGCCGTGGTTCCTCCCAGGTTGGAGCAGAACTTATAGAAAGCCTCCAGATAAGCCTGAGAGCGCACGGCACAAATGTATTTTTGCAACCAATAAACAACACATTTTATTTACAGAGGTTTTCAAGACACTTTACAGGATTGATTAAATTAAAGACAAATAAATACTTGTATAAGCAAGTTCATCTCGGTTCTCAGTGTTTAAAAAACTACATATTAAATGATTACATATTAAACTAAAGATCAAAAAATGCCTGTAAGTTACATGCACTCTAACTGTTGTCACAGTTCATCCTGCATTTATTCTGTAAAGTACTGTGAAAATACTAATACTAAAGTGCATCATTAAGTTGGTTTATCATTAACAGATGTTTACTATAATACACTTTACCTTGTAAAGGGTGTTACGAATGATTTCAATGTTCATCTCATCCAGGTCCTGTTCAGATATGCAGTCCTGGAAGAACGCGGCTGAAAAGACAAGAGGTAACTGTTACTGCTACATTTTGGCACCATCCCCTGTTCAGCGTGAGATGTTACTGTTAGGGCTGTCCCGAATGGCAATGGTTGGCCTCCAGATGTTCAGTGATAATAGTCGGTGAATGTTCAAATATCCAGCGCGTGGTGGGGGTGGGGTTAATGGGTTGACATTGTGGTGCAGCTAAAAGTACCTCTTTCTCCATCTGGCAGTACTTTAGGTTCAAAAAAACAAAACACAAAGCTAATGAAAATTATTATGCAATATTTAGTGCAACAGACGAACAGATGACTGATCTTCATAACCATTTATGTGCACCCAGAAGGTGCTACGTTTCCATCTTTGATGTAAGATCAACTGATAATTTTACCTGTGAATACGTCTCACTCTGTTGGAACGACAGAGAAGCGCTCAGTTCACTCTGATTATTCAGTGGTGTAAACAATCCTTAGCTAACAGCAGACAGCATTGTTGTCAGTCTGTCTGCCGGCTGCAGCGAGTTCACGAACCCAACAGCAGCGAGTTTCATTTTGTCCTGTCATCAATTTAAGTCAAGGAGTTAGCATTAGTTAGCAACAGCTGGTATGACCATGCTAGTTGCCATTTTAACCAAAGTCACAGACGACCAGCAGAAGGTGCTACCTGGACAATCTCCACATGGAACTTACAAACAAGACAGTAGGTCCTGTGCAGCAGGGGGGTGGGGAGGTGCCAAATATTTGAATACTAAAATTGAAAACCGATTACCTAAGCAACTGACAAATATCCGAACAGTAGGATATTCAGGTCCAGCCCCAGTTACTATTCAGTGGAGGCACATACCCAGGGGCGTGTCCACCAGGATGGCATTATAGAGCTCGGCAGGGGTCTGGGCGATGTTGACTGCCTCCATCTGCTCAAAGCTGCCCAGCGGGTGGCACTTTGGCACCAGCTCCGAGATGGCCCGCTGGTGCAGAGTGCCCGTGATCAGCAGGATGACGTTATCGATCATATAGCTGTACCTAAAGTGACCCGGTGTACGGGAAGGGATTGTCACAACAAAGCAGAGAAGTCAGTTCTGCCTGTAGCATATTTGCTCTGTGAACAGCTTTTTGACCATTTCCTGCCTTTGACCACAGAGCTGCTACAACAAGACTGAAGTTTTCTTGTAAACAATACGTATTTATATTCAGTCATGCTCACCATAACACAGTGAGTAGCCCTGACAAACATGCTTGTTTCCTTCCTCGTTAATTGTATTAAATGTATATATCCATAATTATTAACATAAGTGATAAAAACAATACAATATTTCTGACCACATTTCCCATTCTTATTTACAGCACAACCACCCAAGCTGACAGACCTAGAGCAAAGGCCACACAGTGTCACACATCACTGACTGCACCTATTAATAATGTTATTAAACATTTAAAGATAATTAAGACTAAATTAACATAAAGTGTTAACAGCTCAAGAAGTTAGACCCTATGTTCCACCTACGTGATGAAGTCCATGAAGCTGGCCAGCGGCTCGTATGACTGGTTCCTCATGTGGCGAAACTCCACCACCATCTTCTCCTTCAGCTTGTCATCGATAACAGACACAGTGAGGGGAGAGGCCTCATTTGCCAGGAAGCTGCCATAGAGTCTGTGCTCTGCAGGTGGAGCTTCAGATCTGCAGGAGACATGGGCAGAGACCACAGTGGTGATCAGAACACCTCTGATCTGAAAGACCAAAAATTAAACTGCAAAACAAGTGAGCTAGAGCTAAAAAAGGTCCATTAAACAATTAATTGTTTGGGGAAAAACAGCAACTATTTTAATAGTTTGTGTAAACGTTTTAAAAAACTACCACAAATAATGGTTTCAGCTTTTTAAATTTGCTGCTTTTCCTTGTCATACCAAAAAAGTATATTTATAGACCAAACAATCAGTGAACTGAAAATAATCAGCACATTAATCAATAATGAAAATAACTGTTGGCTGCAGCCTTAAAATCACACATGCTGACATTTACCTGGTCAGCAGTAAAGGCCAATGTCTCAAGAGTAGCCTAATTTTGCATGTTTCAGCTAATTCTCTACAGATCGTGTACACCTCTTGTCCTCTGCTGTTAACTTGATGAGGACTGTATACAGACAATGTGTCTCCTTTCATCCACTAGTGAGGAACCTCTCTGGGAGTCTCTACACAAATATGAACACTGTTGCACACACAGCCCAGCTGCTAACCTGAAAGACACTTATGCAGGCCACATACCTGAGACATATTTCTGATTGGTCCCAGCTAGTGGGGTGATAGGTGACCAGTGTTATACAAAACCTGACTGTTACTTCTTTCCTTTGTCACTCACCAACTCTTTGCACTGAGTGTGTGACCTCTTGATCCAGATACCAGTATTGTGCTTATGCTATTGTCTAGCTGCTTAATAAACCACACAAAAAACTTGGAAGCCTCTTCATCAGTTTCCATAACATATAGGACATTTGCATTTAATTTACTTGTCTAAAATTCATCTATAATAAAATAATGTTTCATTAGAACCATAGCACATATCTGACAATAGTCAGATGAAACATAAAGGTGCACAGTCACTATACTACCTCAGCCCTAGAATTACATTGCTGCTATGTGGTAATACTGACCAACTCACTTACAAGTGCATAATAACTGGAACGATACTAATACTTGAAGTAAAACTATATGCCCTCTGTGACTGATATTCTTATTTCTCATGTATATAATCTCACAGAGTAGGGAATAAAATTACACCTGCTTAACTGTACACAAAAACAAGTAGCATTTACTCCAAATAAACTCATTTTTCATCAGAAAAAATGTCTGTGCAGATTCTCAGTCATCCAGGTCAGAGTAAACTGAAAACAGTTAGCTTTAACTCACCTTCCAGGGTCTCGCACTGAACGAGGTTTAAATAATCCGCCTGTGACAGTATTCCAGCTTTAAGTGAAACGTCTTCGATCTAGAAATCTAAGTCCAGTTGATTTTTTTTTCTAAGGTTTTTTCAGTTCATCAGAAAAAAGTCACAATCAGTTCCTACCAACAATAAAAGCGTATTGTTAAAACTATGGAATCATGTTACTTTGTCAAAAGAAAAACGTTCCTGTTGTAATCTCACTTCCTCTAAAAATACATCGTTGACCAATAAATGATGTTACAGTTAGCTGTAGTAGCTTACGCTAGCTTTTGTTACCTAGCTTGCAAACGTAGAAAACCGAATCATGAACAATTGGTCCTATTTAATCAGTGAAAAATGACAATGCGAGGTTTGGTGGCCGCAACTAAATGACAACGATAATGTTACAACGTGGTATGCTGGATATCTCGATTAAAACCAACACTACCGTTAATGTAAACCGAGCTAAGCTAACAACCTTTGAGACTGACGGCTTGTGTAGGCTAGCTAACGTTAAAAGAATTAGCCCCGGTGGCTAGCTATATTAACAGTTAGCTTTAACTCACCTTCCAGGGTCTCGCACTGAACGAGGTTTAAATAATCCGCCTGTGACAGTATTCCAGCTTTAAATCCTCTGACCAGCCCCTCCAGGTAGCCGTTATCTACGTTAAAATACAACTCGGAGAAAGGCATCCCGTCTCACCGTCAGAGCCGTCTCTACCACAGAAGAACCGTCCGTTCGGTTAGGTAGCGTTAGCATCAGCTGACTGAGCCACGTGACCCTCACCTGACCAGTCATCTGCCCTACGCTTGTGTGTATGTGTGCGCGCGCGCGCATTACCCGCGCTTCCGCTACTAATTGTCACAACACAGAAGTATTTATGTTTATAGTACACAACAAAACAGAGTACACCCTTGGTCAGTAATACTAAAATGTTAGGAAGGCCCATAGAGTGTAGGAGCACAGTCTGTACAGTCTAATCACAATCCGGTCCATTTGATACAAATCTATTTGTTAAAATAAAGAAGAATCAAGCCAGTTTATGTGAAAAACAAAAATGTGGCTATAATTTTTTAAAATCCATATTTAGACAAGGACACTTCAACATGTGAACTACAAGCACTGGGATTTGAACCTTCAATCTTCTAGCTGAAAACCACTCCTCTACCCACTACACCACTATTGCCCATTTATGAAGCAACTGCAGCCCAAGTCAGCCTGCACTCTAGTAGTGAGATTTCATTCTTTGAATTTTTAATGCTTTGTACATCCACCTTTATTTTGGGTGATATCTTGAATCCTCCTTAGCATGGATAATACCAGTCTTGTACAAATCTGTGGAGAGATGTTCAGTCATTCTTCAGAGACATTCAGCTGCTCTTTGCTGGTGGGGTTTTGTTGCTCTGCCTTCAGCTATAAAATACTCCAAAGGTCAGGTGAGGGGACATCCTTGTCCTGGTCACAGTTTTCACTTTCTTGTCTTTAAAAAAGTCTTTTGTGATTTTTGTGTTTTG